CACACAGCCGTCCACCAGCAATGCTGCCACCCCATCCCACATAGCCGTCCACCAGCAACGGTGTCACCCCACTCCACACAGCCATCCACCAGCAATGGTGTCACCCCCACCTCCACAGCCATCCACCAGCAACGGTGTCACCCCCACCTCCACAGCCATCCACCAGCAATGGTGTCACCCCACCACACATAGCCATCTACCAGCAATGTTGCCACCCCATCCCACACAGCCATCCACCAGCAATGGTGTCACCCCACCCCACACAGCCATCCACCAGCAATGGTGTCACCCCACCCCACACAGCCATCCACCAGCAATGGTGTCACCCCATCCCACACAGCCATCCACCAGCAATGGTGTCACCCCACCACACACAGCCATCTACCAGCAATGTTGCCACCCCACTCCACACAGCCAAGCACCAGCAATGGTGTCACCTCACCACACACAGCCATCTACCAGCAATGGTGCCACCCCATCCCACACAGCCATCCACCAGCAACAGTGTCACCCCCACCCCCACTCACAGGCCTCAAAAGATGCCATGTGGGGAACTGGACTCCTGTCCCAACTGGCAGAAACAGGGGGCCTCCACTCCTGCTGCTGGAGCATGGCCTGAAAAAAATCAGTGATGGCAGAAGATTTACATAAGATCCAAAGTCTCCTAACACCATGTGAAGAGGTCTGGGTTCCAATCCAATGTCACGGTCACAGCAAGAGCCAGGAAGATCTAAAACTATGAGAAAAGGACAATCAACAGAGGCCAAGCTGAGAGGCAGAGATGCTAATATACTGACAATGATTTTACAGCATCCATGATAAAAATGCTTCAACAGGCAACCACAAATATGCTTGAAACAAATGAAAAACACAGAAAGGCTTGGCAAAGAAATAGAAAAGACAGAGATTTCAGAAATGAAAAATACAAAAACTAAAACCAAAAATGTCATGGACAGACTAGAAGCAAATGAAGGAGATAGAAGTCAGTGAACTTGAAAGTCTAACAGAAATCACGAATCTGAACAACAGAGAAAATCAGCTGACAGGAAAAAGGAACACCGTTTACGATGCGTGAGACAGAAAAAGGCTCAGCATCTGTGTCCCTGCTGTCCCATGCGTGGCAGAGATGGCCCTGAAGAGCAATGGCGGGAAGTGTCCCAAAGACTTCAAAAGACATAACCCTTCCAACTCAAACAGCAGAGACAAACCTAAACAAGATAAACCAGGAACTTCAGTTAAAGATGCAGAAAGACCTTGAAGGCAGTCAAAGAGAAAACACAGCTTACCTAGAGGAAAAATGGTCACAAACAGAAGATCACTCAAGTCGGATGTTTTTCAGGTCCTGAGGAAAAAGGAAGGTCAACCCAGAGTCTTGTCCCGTGAAAACGTCCCCTAGCAAGAGAGGGACGGGAGCAGGCCCAGGGCTGCCCTGAGAGTGCGATGGATGTCCCTGCAGATTGGGAGGGAAGGGACCTTGAGCGAGCCTCCTGCAAGGATGGAAGCAGGAATCCGGGCAAGCACTGGAGGCTCCACTCGAGTTCTCTAGATCATGCTTGACTGTCGAAACTAATATCCTAAGAAATCATCCCAAAGCAAGCAGAAGGAAGATAACATGAAGGCTGAAAACCAAAAAAAAATAGAGAAGGTAAATGGAGCAATTCCTTCAAAAACACAAACAGCCACAACTCACCCAAACGCAACAGATCCTGTGAAACGCCCAGTAACTATTAGGGAAAATGAATATGAAATTTTAAATCTTGCAAAAATAAAATCTCCAGGACCAGAAGGTCTCACTGGAGAATTCTCCCAAATGTGTGAAAGAAAGGGGCAAGTCCACAATCTCTCTGGGGATGTTGGAGGGTGGGGCGCTCCCTACCTCGTAACAGGAGCCACAACAAACCTGGGTGCAGACAGCACAAAATGTGACAAGTGCAGCCCCCTAGGCCCCTCCACATCAACTTCCAGACAATTCACAAAAGAGCAACAAGGTTATTCTACACCACAACCAACCCACAGGCTCCTCCACACTAACATAAAGACACTTCACAGAAGAGCATCAAGGCTGCTCTACCCCACAACCAAGGGGACTTATTTCTGGGTTGCAAAGTTGTTTCCATGTCCAAAAATCAGTCAACGTGACCACCACACACTGACAGGCAAAAGAAGAAAAACGACACCATCATACCAAAGAACACACAAACACCTAAAAAATTCAACACCCGCTGGTGATAAACACTCAGAAAATATGAAACCCCTCAACTTGATCAAAGGCATCTAC